TCATGTGGCCGGCATGACTAAACACCAAGGCGCACGGAACGCTGTTACCTTCCCACCGAAGTGGTCCCTATTTATCTACTTGCAATTTCTTGCTTTCGAACTGCTAGGTTGGCAGGAGCTGGAACTAGAGACGGAAGCTCACTCCGTCATGCGGCACCTGGGTCTCGAACTGCTGAACTACCGACCTTCCACAGCCTGCAGTACACGGTACACAGATTATTCTCTGCTCTGAGATGTGTTCACTCTAAAGCAAGCCCCATAAATAAAGTTCCAGCATGGTATAGTGGCTAGAATGTCAGACCACGATCTGGGACAGTCACACCCTCTCTCCTTAACCTACCTCACAGAATTATTGAGGATAAAATAGAGGATGGGAGGAATGTTGCAAGCCACTTTCGTTTCCTACTCTGGACAAAAGTGTGGTAGAAGTAAAAGGGACAAAAGTGTGGTAGAAGTAAAATAAGTAATACATTGAGGGCACAATCAAGTTCTCCTTAATCCTCATTTAAATTAATAAGCAACCAAGAAATTCCTTGTGCAACCCATGTGGATATAGATGGGAGCTGCGCAAGTGAGTGAAGGTGCATCACTAACCAGTCGCTTGCTTTAATGTGAAACATTTCCAATTAGGACCCATCCTTTTCTCCTCCTAAATGAATGACGGCATGCAGTAATAGACAAATGGAAGCCTTTTAACCTGTCCTGTGCAGTGTTCCCTCTAAGCTGAGTTAGTGTGAGTTAGCTCACAGTTTTTTAGCCTCCGGCTCACACATTTTTGCCTTAGCTCAGGAAGGATGGCTCCAGAGCAAACTAATTTATGCAGTAGCCAAATTGCTCCCTCACAACTTTAATGCCGGTAGCTCACAGAGTAGAATTTTTGCTCACAAGACTCCACAGCTTAGAGGGAGCATTGCGGATTTCCTACATAATGCACCATTTCCCCCCCTGAGATCAATTTTCATACTGCTGTCCCAGAAAAGCATGCTTGGAAATAAGTTATTTATTTCTTTGCTGAAATCAGTGGAGATTTTTCCCAGATAGATCTGTTCAGTATTAAGATGCCAAGCAAGACCTTAGAGTACTGAAACTCCCTGGAGTAAATGATCTGCAGCTGATACTAGCATCTGTTGGGGGGTGGTTGGGATGGATTTTATCAGGCGTAACGTTTGCTAATTTGGGGCTTGACGTGGCTTTAAGATTTAGATGGGTGAGTGATATCCTCCCGTCAGGAAGGGGAATACACAGTGTAAAAGGAGTGACCTTCCTGAATGGCTCCTGACTCCTGTTTTGATCAGTTCCAGAAACATTTTGTTAAAGGGAAATAAAGATAACTGGCTTCCCTTTTGCCCAGAGAGAGGATATAACCAGGAAATCTGTGGTTCAAGCCTCACCTAAGCCACAGACTAACCAAGTGGCCTTTGGCAAGCATACAACCTTATGGACCAGGTTACACACCAATTGCAGATCTTTTATTGATTTGTATCCCCCTTTTCTCCCCAGCGGAGACCCAAAATGGCTTGCAGTACCCCCCCCCCCAAAGTACAATAACATTGGACAAGAGAAGGGGAAAGAGGAGGCTTCTGAGCATGGAGTAGGCCTTCCTGTCTCTCCTGACTGATCTTCCTGCCAGCACCAGGCTGTGACCCTGAGGTGAAAAAGTTTTGACACAGGCATTCCTCTGGGCACTCCCAGGCCTTAAAAATACATGGAGCAGTAGGAGAACAAAGTCAGCTTAAGTTTTATTCAGTGGCTGCTGACTAGCCAACAGGCTAGGCTCTTTTCTGTTCCCTCCCCTGCCAGGTAAATTAGAGCCAGCGCTGTTTTTCTTAACAAAGTCACTGGGATGGGGATGGGATACCAAAGTAGTGTTTGTAGGAAAGAGGTCTCAGGTAACCTCTTCTCTACTCCAATCTCACTTCCTTTTTTAAAAAAAACTCCTCACATCTGCAATATGGGATCATAATACTGGCCTACCTTATAGGCCCATTGTGACAGTGGCTAAAAAAAGCTATGCAAAGTTTTTTGAGTATTACAGAAAAAGGCATTATAGAAATACTTTAGTGCAATTAGTTTCCTAGATGGTACGTGCTTTTTTTAAAAAAATTCCATACTCTCTTCTTCAGAAACAAATTCCTTCGTTCCTGGCTTTGAAGTCGAAATATATCATCCATGTCATGGGATCGCTTGGCTTTCAAATCCCCCTTAAAGTCAGGCAGTTGCATTGCTATGCATTATGGCACCTGCATCCGAGCCGGTTCCTGGAGTAGTTTTGAGAACGGGGCTTGAAATGGTATCTGCAGCTGCGTAATCTCCCCATTTGCAAGTCACTGCCTGCAGATATCCGAGCCTTGTGAGTACAGTATGTCTCGGCTTAGAGATCTTAAAATGAAGGCCTGGAGCCATACATTCACCTGGGTGCGACTATCAAGAAGAATGAGGCTTTCATAATGAAAAGCTATTTATCAACATTTCATAGCTTTTCAAGACAATGCTTAGCGTGAGCCTTAAAAGATGCAGTCATACTTCCAGGGTTAGGATTTTGCATATTGCAACGCTTTTCTGTGGGGAAGGGACAAAGTCTTGTGAATTTGGAGGATATTTCTAGTACCAAAAAGGCACCTGTTCTGCAGTCCTAAATGTGTGGCCAAGCACATCTTCCCAATTTTATTACTCAAACAACCATTTTGATGTAGTGGTTTGGTGTAGTGGTTAGGAGTATAGTGGCCAGTTTGGTGTAGTGGTTAGGAGCTGTGGACTTTAATCTGGGAGAACCGGGTTTGATTCCCCACTCCTCCACGTGCAGCTGCTGGATGACCTTGGGCAGCCCATAGTTCTGTCAGAGCTGTTCTTGAAAGAGCAGTTCTTGAGAGAGCTCTCTCAGCCCCACCTACCTCACAGGCAGTGTTCCCTCTAAGCTGAGTTAGTGTGAGCTAGCTCACCGTTTTTTAGCCTCCAGCTCACACATTTTTGTCTTAGCTTAGAAAGGATGGCTCCAGGGCAAACTAATCGCTCGCTCATGACTTTAATGCCAATAGCTCACAAAGTAGAACTTTTGCACTCAAGACTCCACAACTTAGAAGGAGCATTGCTCACAGGGTGTCTGTTGTGGGGAGGGGAAGGGAAAGGAGATTGTAAGCTGCTCTGAGACTCTTTCAGATAGTGAAGGGCAGGTATAAATCCAATCTCTTCTCTTCTTCTTTTTGTGAATATGGCTTTCTGCTATTTGGAATTGTCTCTGTCCAGCCTTTGGGACAGAAGTGGGACATAGAAGAGCTAGTGTGGTGTAGTGGTTAGGGTCTTACACTAGGATCTGGGAGACCCAGGTTCAAATCCCCATTGTGCCATGGAAGCTTACTGGGTGGCTTTGGGCCAAACACGCACACTCAGCCAAACCTACTTCACAGGGTTGTTGTGAGAATAAAATGAAGGAAAGGAGAACAATGTCAGCTGCCTTGGGTCGCCTTTGAGGAGAATATAAATGCTGTTAAATAAATAAAGAATTGCTTCCAGAGTCCTGCTAAAGAGTTCTGTGTAACTCAAAAGTTGGCATATATTTTTGCTGACAAAAGTTGTCCCAATAAAAACAGATAATTTTTCATCCTCTGGGGATGGCAGTTGGCCATAGCAAATTCAAGCTGCAGTCTTGACACATGGTTTCCTGGAAGTAAACACCACTGAACACAAGGGGGCTTACTTCTGAGTAGATATGTATGGTGTTGATGTTTCAGATGCTTGATTTTTTGTTATCTGGTATGCAAGTAGTTGTTACATATGTATGTATTGAGGACTACTATTCTAGTCTTCTTGTCCTTTGTGCCCTGTTTTCTTACTTTACATCTAGAACCCAAAACAGTGCTCAAGAAGTCTAATCCGCAGCTGTTTCCTGCTCTGGAACCAGACGTAACTTGCCTTCATTCACCATCTTTCCATTCATCGAAAGTTCCCTTACAGCTGCTTGCACTGCTGAAAGGGTAAGCTGTTGTTCAGTTCCTGTATTAAAGTGTGCATTGAATAGACATGCTGGTGAGTGTGGGTTTTAAAAATATCACAAATAAACAAATTAAAGTAGTGGCTTGCTTCTTTGATGTGCATCCAGGGGAGCCCTGTCTCTTCAGTGTTTTCCTTATTTTCATCTTGGTTTCAGGATCTCAGAGATTGCGGGATTCTCCCCTGTCGTAGTTAAAGAATCCCTCCAGTATTGTCTTTGCAATTTTATCATGTTAACTAATTGGGTAAAACGAGGTCCAGAAAGCCCATTTCTGCTCCTCTTTGGAAAACTTTCAAGTTATGTTATGTACTGTAATAAAATCCAATTCCCAGATCTACCATTTTCTTTACTGTGGTGGATTAGAACTGTAGAGTATACATAAATAGGCACTTCTTCAGTATTTGCTTTACATAAAGCCAGGGTGGCGTAGTGGTTAAGAGTGTTGGGCTAGAATCTAGGAGGCCCAGGTTCAGATCCCCTCTCTGCCAGGGAAGCTTGCCGTGGAATCTTGGGTTGGTGACATACTCTCATCCTAACCTGTCTCATTCTATCACAGGACAGTTGTGAGGATAAAATGGCGGAAAGGAGATTGATGTGAGACGGTTTGGGACCCCAGTAAGAACAAAGGCAGAGGTATAAATGAAGTCAATAAATAAATTTACTGAAGTACTATATGCAAAAATACTTCAGCATTGAGGCTTTGCAAAAATTGCACCCCCTTTTTTGTTTCAGCTGCTGTTATACATTAGCACTTGATTGTGTGTGTGTGAGAGAGAGACTCCAGATTGTTTGGTTTGTCAGCAAAGAAGCGTGTGATAACTTGTAGGAAAGCTTCAGTGCAACCCTGCAATGCTACAGCAATTGTGATGTTTATTTTTCCCTTTCTGGAATGGAGGAATAAAATCCTGAAACCATCAAAGCCAACATTCGCTCTTGATTACACTCAGTCCTTCTCTCACAATGGCCATGGTCCAAAAACTATTTGTACAAAAGAAGTTGGCTGGGTTTAACAAGACTAAAAAGTAAAGATAAAGGTTCCCTTGCTCAAAAGCCAGTCGAGTCCGACTCTAGGGTTGCGGTGCTCATCTCTGTTTCAAAGCCGAAGAGCCAGCGCTGTCCAAAGACATTTCCGTGGTCATGTGCCCGGCATGACTAAACACCAAGGCACACGGAACGCTGTTACCTTCCCACCAAAGCGGTACCTATTTATCTACTTGCAATTTCTTGCTTTCGAACTGCTAGGTTGGCAGGAGCGGGAACTAGAGACGGGAGCTCATTCCGTCATGCGGCACACTCGGGTCTCGAACTGCTGAACTACTGACCTTCCACAGCCTGCAGTTCAGCGTCTTAACCACTTGAGCCCCCGCAGCTCCTTTAACAAGACTACTGAGGAGTAAATGTTTTGAGGCCGTGATCCCACATATATTTGTTTACAAAGAAGTCCTTTTGATTCGAGTGCACAATTGCTGTTGCTGAAGTACTCCCTGCACTCTTGGTTTTGCATGGCGGCATTACACAAAGAGACCGCAATGTCTGTTCCTTTGTGGGGGGAGAAACACCAAGTAGGTAGCATGGGAAATCCATATGCCAGTATCCTACAGCAAGTCATGTAGATTGTGTGACCTGAATAGGCCTCACATTCACAACTAAAGATAGGAAGACCTGAGAAAAACAGAAGGAAGGAAGAAAAACCCATTTTTGCTACCCAAGCCTAGTAAGTACACTTGATTGACCACTTATAAGCACTTATCTGGCACCTGAACCATCATCAAGCTCCACCCTCCACAGCTGTCATACCCCCCCCTGCGTTTTCAGATGTGTGTGTGCCCACTCCAGCTGATCGGCTTGTTGCCTTCAGCCTTGGCTGGGCTTCTGACAGATGGCACTAGTACCAGCTGACATCATCTTCAGGTGCCTCCTTCCCTCTCAATGTGCCTCGAGCTGTTGGGAGCCTTCTCTGACTGGAAGGGTCCTGGGAAGCTGGCTCGCTTCTCTGCCTGCTATGCAGTGTAGTTCCATAGCTGATAGGGGAAGGGCCCTGCTAATATGGCAGTTGTTGCCATCACGCTCCCAATGCAGTGGGGTTTGGTTGCTGTGGACTTAGCTAGTAGGGATACCATTCTCCATGTGTGAGTGGGGGATCCCCTGCTTTCATGGGCTGCTGGCCGGTGGGAGGAAATTCCCCCCCAATGCCATGCGTGATGAGCTGATGTCACCCGGAAGTGACGTCAGCGCATCAGTGACATCCGGGGGGGGGGGGTGCAACACTCTGCTTTGGGGGCAAAACTCCATGGTTTGAGGCCGTTTTTAATCATAGAATTTTGCCCAAAAAGCAGAGCGTCACCCCCAATGTTGCCAATGTTTTAATTATTGAGTACAAGGAAGGGATCACAGTTGTAGGTACGTACCAAAAAACCCATGTTTTAATTATTGGCATGTTTGCCTCATCTGTAAGCCGCCCTGAGCCCGCTTGTGGGGAGGGCGGCCTATAAATCTAAAATAAATAAATAAACGTGCTTTCAGGTGATGTCAATGCATTGTGCAATGTCCCGTGTCCCCCCCGGAATGCCCCCACCCCCCACCCCCGCCAGTGCAACGATTGGACCTGGCAACCCTATCAGCTGGGAAGGAGGCAGGGAAGAGCAATAAGCTCGAGCATCCAGCACATTTGATTAACCAGCAATCCCCATTCCCCAGAGTGCCAGATAACGTAACTTTTACTGAAGTTTCCCCCAGCTTTCCCAACAAAACAGGAAATGGTGCCCTTAGGCCAGTTAAGGGTGGGGTTGCCAGCACTGGATTTTTAGGGATGGTGCCTGGGGAGGGCAGGGTTTGGAGAAGGGAGGGACTTCAGCAGAGTGTGATGCTGTAGGAGCCACCCTTCAAAGCAGCCATTTTCTCCAGGGGAACTGATCTCTGCAGTCTGGAGACCAGTTGCAATGCCAGAAGCTCTCCAGGCCTCACCTGGAGGTTGGGAAACCCTAGTTAAGCGTCAGTAAATAAAGAGTTTCCTTCCATTCTGTAAAGACAATGCTCCCTCCCCTTGGAAAAAGCCTTCAGATATATCTCCAAATACAGTTGCACTGTGGAAACGTTGGCATATCTGTACATATTGCTGTATGATTGGTATCTCTGTCAAGTTGAAACAAGCATGCAAATAAGTTTATAATTACTACATAGTTTGAACAATGCTGGAATTGTCATAACTTTTATATATTGCCCCATTACAACCTTTAAATAAATGGCTCGGTGGAGATCAGCAGTGCAAGGCCAATTCATTCTTGTCTGTCTTTAAAAAGACCGTAGGAAAAAAAAAAAGGTAATCCTTTCCCATCAAACATTCACAAAGAGACATCTTTCTGAAGCACCTGTTCGTTATGAATAACTGTAGGATAAGAACACACCAGTTTATCATTATGAGACGTTAACAATGTCTGAAACGCCTGGAAGAAATCTCATTTTTTATTTAATTGGAAATTGTGTTGTGGAAATTGCATAAACATATTTTTGGTCCAGAGATTGTCCATTTTAGTTTGCATTTTTCTTTCCAGTGATAATGTGTCTTCCTTTCCTCTCGTTCACCCTTGCAGCTTCCTGAACCGAGACTGCCAAACTTGCTAGATTTCAGTGTGATCACCCTTGAGGTTAATTCTTCTCCTTCAGCTTGCATGGGGTTGTTTTCAAGTATTTGCCCCCAAATAGCAAAAAGAAAACCCACCCTGCTGTGTTGGACCCATGTATTACTAATCCACTTATCAAGTGTTGGCGCATTTGTATTGCATGAAAACCATGTTATACAGATGTTCCAAATTCACAGAATATGAACTCTGGACATCTGCGGGCATAAGATGTTTAAAAGATCTCACCGATAAAGGAGAACTCTTGACTAAACAGAAATTTGAAGTGATTGTAAAAACTAAAGTACCTTGGTTACGGGACTACCAACTTCGGAGTCTCATAGAGTGAGTAAAGGAAACGGACACCTTGATAAGACCTAGAACATCCTTTGAACAACTTCTCAGCAAATCAACCTTCAGATCTAAAGGGTTGTTATCGATCTTGTATAAAATTCTTTGGGACACAGAAAAATGTGAGATTCTCTCCAACATGATGGCCTCGAAAAAAGACTTGAAGGTTGACATAACTCTCCAACGCTGGACAGATATCTGGGGTTCCCATTCAAATAAATCAAGAGTATTCAACATTAGACTACAATATTTCAAGACTCTTACTAGATGGTACCTCTCCCCAGCCCGATTAAAACACATGCATCCAAAGTACAGCGATGAATGTTGGAAAGGTGGCTCCACAAGCAACTTATTTCATTGTTGGTGGTCCTGCTCGGTCATACAAGGCTTCTGGAAACAGGTCCTAGAAGAAAGAAACAAAATAACGGCAATACCATTGTTTTGACCATACAGACTTTTGTTGGCAGAGTGATGGCTCTACTTTTTATTATGCTGTCTAGGTTTGCAATAGCTTTCCTCCCAAGGAGCAGGCGTCTTTTAATTTCAGGGCTGCAGTCACTGTCTGCAGTGATCTTGGATCCCAGGAACGCGTCACTGCTTCCATTTGCCAAGGAGTGATGGGACCGGATGCCATGATTTTAGTTTTTTTGATGTTGAGTTTCAAGCCACCTTTTTCGCACAGAGGAGAGGCACTAGATGCTATGCTGAAAATTTGTTGCCTCTACCTCAAGAAACAGCCCCCCCCCCCGAGCCCGAGATACCCACAGATCGATTGTCCATTATACCCTACTAGGAAAAGTGCCCGTTGTGGAAATAAATACAACGGCCTCTAGAAAGAGGCTCTGGGCGGGTGCCCCATCCTTGGACACTCAGTGTCAATTTGCTGTGGCGACCTCAGCAGGGTATAATGACAGAGTCCACCATTTTCTCCAGAGGAACTGATCTCTGCTACCTAAAGAACAGTTGTAATTTTGAGTGATCTCCAGCCCTCACCTGGAGATTGGCAACGATGGTTCCCCAAAAGGGAATAGTTGCTTTGGAGGGTGGAGTCTATGGCTTTGTACCTGTCCGAGGTCCCATGCCTCCTGAAACCTCACCCTCTCTAGGCTTCATCCCTCACATCTCCAGGAATTCCCCACCTGGATTTGGCAACCCTATCTCCTTCCCAGCCAATCATCAACCTACCTTTATTTCCCCATCACTCTTCAGCTTTCCACCCCCCACACACCTGCAGCCTCTTCCGTGCTCTGAAGCCCTGACTGCTACGTCACATTGGCTGTCATATGGGGGCCACCTCAGCAACATATAAAGATACAGAGCCCACCATTTTCTCCAGGGCAACTGATCTCTGCCATCTGGAAAGCAGTTGTAATTCTGAGTGATCTCCAGCCCTCACCTGGAGATTGGACACATTTTACCTCAGAACAGCAAAACTGTTTAGAATGTTAGAGGCAAAAGCCAATCAAGTCGCATATGCAAACAACCTCTGTGTTCCAAGGCAGAGGCCAATGAGGCTGCCTATGCAAATAACCTCTGTGTTCTGACTGGCTATGGGGGGGAGAGGAACAGCAAAATGTTTAGAATGTTGGAGGCAGGACTCAGGCAAAGCAGCCAGTGGATAGGGAGACCCTCTGAATGACAGATCAGAGAGCGAACTGATTTTGGAGCCTCTGGAATGTTCTAGAGAAGTGCCACCACCATTCGGCTTTTATTTATAAGGGAGATGGGGACTGGTCTCCATAGTGTATAATGGCACTCCCAGCAGCCATCCCCCGATAGCCCTGAAATGGGGGAGGGGCTCCCAACCAGGAGATCCTCGCCCCCAGCTGGGGATTGGCAACCCTGTTAGAATCATCACTATAAGCTATAGATCAGGGGTCCCCAACATGGTGCCTGTGGGTGCCATGGCGCCCGATGACACCTTTCCTGACACCCACCAAGTAGTTTTAGAAAGTGGGTGGGGCCAGGTGAGGCTTTTGTTACGTATACTATTAGAGCTACGGATAACCTTACTTCCTGACATTTTGTGGTTGGCTATACCTCCTACAGCAGCCATTTTGTTGTTGTGCTCACCATCCTGTGTCAGAATTCCAGAGGTGCCCACTCAGAAAGGTTGGGGACCCCTGCTATAGATGGTCACCTTCTAGGGGACCTACTTTAGGGGCCTAACTGTTCAATGTTTCGCTATGAGAACAACACTGGTTTTTTTCCAAAACGGATCACCACATGTACTCTCTAATTCAGTATAATTTATTTGGCCAAACACTTCCCCTCTTACGATTGTTATCCTACAGGGAACCATTTTCTTCTATGCTAAAGGCAAAGCAATTTCATTATTAACTTTGAATAACAATGAGACCCCCTGGCTTGGATGGGATGGAATCCAACATTTATGAGTGACTGTACTATGGCAAAAGCCATTTGCCTCATCTAAATGTTGGCTCTATCAGGACATTTCAGTCATAAACAGCATTCTCTGTGACAGGAAACAGTAATCACTTACAAAATTATAGCAAATCTTACTGGCTGCCAAGGCAGGGAAAGTTACCTCATATGTGACATATCTATGAGGAGAAGAAGGCATATCTGTGTACCTCCACATGAAACAGTGGCTCCTAGGGTCATGTCGAAGGCATATCTGTGTACCTCCACATGAAGCAGTGGCTCCTGTGAAAGGAATCTATGATAGCATATGTTATACTCTGAAGAAACTGTCGAATATAATATATTGAGTTGTCCCCTGGCCGCAGATGCAAGAATAAAATTGTCCGGACAGATTTTAGAGTATCTCAATGAAAACATCTTTGTTTTGGGTGAGGGCACATGGAAAAAGATTCTTTTTTAAGGTGTTGACTTGGGAGCTGAGGAATGAAGTGCCTGAACACAAGTAAAGATCTCCCTGTTCACTCTCACAAAGTAGACAAGTCATTTAGGACACACACCAACGTGTTCTATGCGCTCACACATCTGGCTCAGGCTTCTGGTGTAGAGCATCTCATTCATCACCCTCTGACATGCTTACTGTGCAACCCATATTCCATCAACATGTCACAAAACAACTTTTCTTTCCTCTGTGTCATGCTCCTTATATGTTCACACAGGCATCTGTCATATATATTATTGAAAGAATGGCATCATTCATAGGTTTTAACAACAGTTAGCACTTACACGAATTCTGCTTTGCAACGGGGAAAAATTTATTTAGAACACTAAGAGGTATGTGAGTCAGTTTATATACATAACCAAACCTCCTCTGTGCATTGTTAACTGGTAATGTCCTTTGGTACCATACTGTAGGAGGAAACAAAAATAAATTATAATTTTATCACTTATATAGGTGTGTAATTGTATATCTCTTAGAGTGCACAAAATGTATTCATAACAGTCTTGATCATACATGTGTATGTATAAAGAATACATATATTATTTATACTTATTATTATATTTATGGGTTGCTATAAAAGACTGAGATCAAGAATTCAGATTATAAATGAAAACCAGAACACTGAAAGACAGTAACAAATTGTAAATTAGTCTGTGCATTCATACCAATGGTTATTCAATTAACAATGCAGGTGAACTAAAAACTGAATAAAATGAACTAAAAACTGAATAAAAGTTGTGTGTGTGGGGGGGGTGTCATTCTACAGCAATAAGTGAATTTCTACATGGTACAGAATTTTGAATTTAATAATCTAGACATTAATTGCAGAAGGACTTTTTTGTCCCCATGATGGACTTAAAAGACATTTGTCAGAAAATAATAAATGAGTTATCAAACCAGCAGACTCTGAGTTCCATACAATGTCTTACTGGTAACTTCAAGAAAATTGCTAAAAGGTCAAGGGGAATCTGAACTCCCAGGAAGTACCTTGAACTTTAGTTCAAATATGCCAAAAATTGCTTTGGAAACATTCATTAATCTTCATGACACGTTTTGGACATCAGGACAGTTCACAGATGGTTAAAACTTGAGGCACACAAGTGACCTTCTTCAATGTCACACCAAGTCAGTGGCAGAACCCAGAAGTCAAGATTCCTAAACTCTTTTACTTGGCCACAAGAACACCCAGCAATCACTTGCAAGTTAAGTCGCGTGTCCATGTTTTCATCAAGGAAGGTAACAACAGAAAATCTAGACTAGAGGCTTTAGGCTCAAATGTTGTATATACATATATTTTGTCAGTAAATGTAATAAACATAATAGGCTGTTACGGCAGCTATGGGAAGGAAACATGTATGAACACATGGTGTTTTGGCATTTCCCATGACTGACAACATAGTTGAAATATTGAGCTGGATCCTACAGCTCTGTACTCCTGGCACCACTGTGTTCCTGCAGCATAAGGAACTTCTAATGAGAGAACCTCTTCTGCTGGCAGAATATTGTCTTGCGTTGGTGAGAGGCTCCTTGCGTCAGAGGAAGCTACCAACGCCAATAGTATGGAAAGGTGGGATATGATCCATGGAGTGTCTCTGCTTTATCACAAGCTATAATCTATGTGCCATTGATCACCATAGTTGTATGGTGTTATCTAGATGACGATGCACATGGACAATGGTGCATTTGATCTATGGACCAGTTTGAGTTCCTAGTTACACTTTGTCTCTTTTCCCCAATGGAGGAGGTGCTTTTAACTGAAGTTCCTTCAATGTGTATAAAAGATTTAGAAGAAGGATTGCAGCTGAAGAGTTGGAGCTCATACCATCATCAGTTTACCTCTGAACCACACCCTCAGTATCACAGAATACTTTGTGTCTCAATTATAGTGAATCCAGGGAATAGTAATGGCAGGCAAGCACAGTTGGGTAGAATGAGGTGCTGCCAGTGTAAATTCTGTTTACTGTCTCTACTCTTGCATAGAGGTTGCAAAATGATCTTGTGAAATGACTGACTTGTGGGGAAATGGAATCCTATAAGGTAACCTGAGATTTTTATCTCAGCCCTATTTCTATCCCCAAAATATATAAATCCTCTTTTGTTGGTCATATGCCTTTACTTTGGTTCCATTATTATATTTCCTGAAAAAGTCCCTTGTCAAAGTTCACTGCTATTGTTACTGTGCAGGTGCAAAAGTGTTCTACAGCCATTCCAGGTCATTGATGGACAGGTGAACAGATTAGACATTTGGCTTACAGGTGATCCCAGTTGTCAGACAAGGCATGTTCAACTCTCAAATCCATTTGGTGTGAAATTTTCAGCCATTATAGACATGCGGAGAGAGTATGATGTTTTGTTGAATTCTGGACTAACAATCTAGGAATATAGGTTCCAAAATGTTGTACATGCTTGTAGTTTAAGTGAGAATTATCAGGCCATTTACCTAAAGTTCTGTGAGATGGCTGGCTTTCCCAAAGGAGATATGATGTGGTTTGGACAGTAGTTGAGCCAGAATACTTTTATGAAGACAAAGTATCACACTATTTCACTTACAAGTAT